CTTATTCTACTGAGCCATCTCCCCAACCCCGCAATTGTTTAATTTTGAGACATAGTTTTGTTAACTTGCCCAGGCTTAGTTCAAATTTGCAATCCTCCTGTCCCAGCATCCCCAATATTTTGTATAGTTTTGAGGTGCAAAGCTCATTGCCTCTACCTGGGGATAGTGGCAGGGAGTCAGTGGGACTTGGACCTGTCAGCCACTGTGGAAGGTTTTGTTCCTCAACAATTGTAGGACAGGAAGGAGTCTTTGTAGTCTGAGATTACCTGAAGGTAGAGGAATTGGCTTTACTCTTTCAAAGCCTACCAAATGACAGGCCAGCTATTCTATTTGCTACTTTTCATTATTGTCTGGTACTTTATTTCTGCTCTGACCTTTAACTATTTTGGAGTGTTTCCCCCTAGACTAATGAACTTGAGATTGACACAGTTAATTAGATATTAGACTTCAGTTTATGAATTTTCAAAGATAGATGTGCTTGAAAACCTTCCTGCGAGCAAAGTGGGTTGGTTTGTTGGTAGTGGAATTTGTGGTGGTGCTTGTTTTGATATTCATTATTGAACTCCTTCTTCCTTTCTCAGAGAACCTACCGAGCCATGTATGATTACAGTGCCCAGGATGAAGATGAGGTCTCTTTCCGAGATGGTGACTACATTGTCAATGTGCAACCCATCGATGATGGCTGGATGTACGGCACGGTGCAGCGGACCGGGAGGACGGGCATGCTCCCGGCGAATTACATCGAGTTCGTCAATTAATTCTTTCTCCCTGCCCTTTGAGCTTTATTCTAATGTATTCTAAACCTAATCTTTTTAAAACCTAGAAGATACTTTTAAGACAACTTGGCAGTTATTTTCCAATAATGTACCCTTGCTTTGACAATTACACACAAGGTACCAGGAAGTAGGAATGACTTTGGCCCGAAAACAGCAGCATTCTCAGTAATTCTTGTAAACAAAATCATGAATTGTAGAGGCCTGGTGCTGCTAATTGTGTTTGTGGCTTCCTTTGATTGGCTCCTGAACCCTTCTTGGAAATGTATTTTTGTAGACTTTAATAGAGATGTCAATTGTCCCTTATATGTAATGAGTGTATGAAACTTCTTAGCTGTCCCTTTGGAATAACCAGAAGCTGTTCTCTTCACTCAGCAACACAGCCAGTAAGTTATAAACTGGTTAGCTTTGGAGTCATTAGACAATTTGCAATTCAAGGGAAAGTTGCCTGATATAATAAATGTAAGCAGCGGCAGAATGACAATCTGCTTAGAGTTAGTGTCACACTAACTGGCTGGTGGCCTTAGGGACCAAAGAGGACATTTCCTTGTTCCTGAGGCCACTGGGGTCTGTTTGTGTCTTGTTTTTACCAAGGCCTCTCCTACTTTCCATTTCCATTCTCTGGACCTGAGTTTAGCTTGGTCCCACTGAATGTCAGGACCAAATAATGTCATAGCTACTCTGCAGAGAGCAAAGTTTAATGTCATCTGTATTATTTCCCTAGGAGTGTTTAGCCTGTTGCATGTCCTGTAGGTTTGGCTTCTGTTACTAAAACAAATCATGTGGCTGATATGTACAAACTCTATCTGCCTTCTCCTTATCAGCTCATCAGAAAAACATCTTTAAAAGTTGCTTGAGATTTTCTTGCTGTGTTGCAGTCTAGACTTGAAGGCCTGACACCTTAGAAAATATGTGTTTACTCCAGTAAATAAGTGACTTGGCTACTTACTGAACAGTCTTTATTAGCTTAATGCCACTTTTGAATTAAAAGTCAAGAAAATTTAACAGGACCCAATAAAAATATGAAATTTGTTCTACAAACAAACAAACAAACAAAACCTTAGCAAAAGAGTTTGCTTTGCCCAGAGATGATTTGGTTTCTTATTTTGGAAAATGATACTCAAATTCAAGAATGGTAATATAGCCTTTCAGACTAGTTCATCATAAAATTTCATTTCTACTGTTTTGTTTTTTTTTCCAAATTACCTTCAAAGGATGAGATAGGAATGCCATAGGAGATTTTTCAGGGTAGTTTCCAAAAAAAGAATGAGCATGTTTTGAGTGACTTTTCAGGTTTTTGCTAGATTCCCAGCCACAGATGTAAACCATGCTGGATTTGCTCAATGCCTGAATAAAGGTCACCAGTAGATTGATGTCCATCAGCAACTCTGCATTTTTCTGATTGTGTCCTTTCGTTTGACTTGCAACATCATAAAACTCATAGAGGGTCCGACTGTCATTGTGATGAAACTGAAAACTGCAGAGTTACAAAAATATCTTGGTGGTATCTACTTTGTGTATTAAGAGAGATTGACAAAGCATTCTGTTACAACATCTTTTATTGAAATGTTTACTAGCCTAAAGGCCAAAGCTGGTTCATTTTTACCTTTTCAGAGTTAGTAACACACTTTTGAAAATCTGCACTTTCCTTTTATTAAGCTTAAAGAACAAAATAAATGTCATATACTAAAGCTGTAGCTATATGATAGAGATATAAAAATTGAAAAGAGAAAAATTCAGGCAGACTACTAGAGATTTTTTGGAAAGGGTTTTACAGATTACCTGATAACCAGCTTACTTGATTTTTTTGTCACTTATATGACCAGTGGATTAAATTGATTAAACTGCGTATCTGTCTTGACATCTTGTATACAGATCTAATTTTGCAAAAATCTGCATTAAAACCAATGGCAATAAGCCCGCTTAATTTTACTATACTAAATAATGCCTTTGTATTTCACTGAGTCAGACCATTTTTTTGTATGTGGATATAAAAAATCATTGTTGATTAAATTTTCAGACTAAATGTAGGACAGGTACAAATTTTGATACACAGCACATATAATCAGGGATGGCATCATACAATCATAGCTTGTTGCCTCATGCTTTTCTCATCCACTAATTTTAAAATCAGATTCAATGAATGTAAAAGTCCTAAAATTTGAAGCTACTTGCAATGTTTACGTAGCAAAATGCTTAAGCCTTTAGGAATTAAGATATGATCAGAATTCAACTAGAGAGTATTTATTTTCAATAAAGACTGAAGCAGAACAAGATGTTGCCTGCTGTTGAGGTTTATAACTAGATAGTGTTGGAATTGTCACTAACACTTGTCAGGATATTAATTCTACTTGTCAGTAGAATTCAGGAAATGTGTGTGTATATCAAAGTACTGCTTTTATTGCATCATTTAAAAAAATAACCTACATTCTTGGAAAGCTTTTCCAATTTCCACAAGCCTCCCACCCATCATCAGTTTGATAAACAACACTAACAGCTAAGAAAGAGTTTGAAAGCAAGTCCTCTAAAAACCAAGTTAAAAAATACTGCATATGCCAAGCACAGAGAGTGTACAGGTGGTCCCTAAATTGGATGTACTTTCAAACTGGACCAAAACACAAGGATCAGTTGGGAGCATTCTCAAAAGGTTCTGAAAACCAAATGTATGTGGATCTTATTTCTCTTGAGAAAAGCATAGCAACACAATACAGTGCTTTTATTGTTAAGGTTTTTTTGTTTTGTTTTGTTTTGTTTTTAATGTATTTGCTGCAGGGTCTCACTACGCAGCTCATACTCGTAGTGATCCTCCTGTTTCCAGCTTCCCCAGCACTGAGATCACAGGCATGCACCACCACACCCATTCTCGGTGGCTGGCTCAGCATGCCTGAGGGTGGGGGCCAGCGCAGCATGTGGTGCCATGGTGTTCAGTTTTGTAGTCCACGTTTTGTTAATTCTTGTTCTCTAGAAAGCTTCCTACTTTTAACCTATGGCAAAATGAATTCTTTTTGTCCTCTTGTTGTTTGCACATCTGCAGAATAGCCCAGTTTGAATTATTTATCTGGTTGTCAGCTCTCCTTGGAGCTTTAGCATCTTCTTATGCCTTTTGGCCCCCAAAGACCACATGGGAATTTGTAAGCACAATGTCCATAGCACCTTGTGTACACGTGGATGAGTTAAAAGGTACCTTGCTTAAAGATGATGAAAGTGGTTTGGTTTGGCCAGTTTACCACAGTCTTTCTTCCCTGATCCTCTCTGTGCTGAGCTGTACAACACTGGGAATTAGGAAGAAAGACATTTCTTTTTAAAAGACAGAATAGAAATTCAAGAGGTATGCCTTGTTTTCAGGTTCATTCAACTTCAGTAGACTGTTTTTAATGAAAAGCTACAGAAAATGGAAGAGCTCTTTACTAATATCCCAATATATAGATGATGTAGTTTATATCAAAATTATACTACAAATATATTATACAAAATAGGTGCCTTTTTATTACCCTTGTTTATCCATTATGGTCTTGGGAAAAAAAATTAAGCAAGCAAATTTCTGCCTATTCTATAGTAATATTTTATTATACATGATTGGTATTTTTGTGGTGGCTTAAAGGAATGTTCCTGACAGATATTGCAGGTGATAGCTGACTGTATTTTATCATTAAAGGTTTAGAACTTTAGAAAATGCTGACTTCTTTCATCTATTTCTGAAAAGTTCTTTGTGGATTTATATATAGTTGAGGTGTATAAACATTAAACCTTAGGTTTGGGATTTAAAAATACATGTTGTATGATAGAATAATTATATGATGAGGCTGAATTCACTATGTAAGATGGACTTCACTTCACAAGTTAATTTTGCTTAGCATTTGCTTCTGACCATCTGACAGCAGCCAGGTGGCAGCCATGGGTAACCTGGTGTAAGGATAATAAAGCGTTAGTTAAGTAAGAAGTATGGAAACTAACTTGGTGTGCTAAAGTGTAAGTCTCTTTCTCCACTATACCATGCCTGTTAGGACCCCGTCTAGGCAACTAACTAGCAACTGTTGATGATCAGGAGAAAGTCAAGACATTGTCATCCTTAGATGATGCTTAGACTAACGGACCCCACAGGCAAGTCGCTCCCTAGCTGTCCGTATTCCTTCAATATGTTCATGGGAACTTCATATGCTTTTTGTATTTGATGTACCGTATCTCCTTTGCATTAGTGCACACCTTGGAATCCAGTTCTTGTTTAGAATTTATTTTAAAGGAGAAAGAGAAAACTGCATCACCATTCCATTCTTCTGTGTCCATACAGTGAATTACTGAGTATTTTGGAAATGGCACTAAGTCTGACAGGCATGATATGTGTGGAACTGTTGGTCTTTTGACCTGTGATAAAAATGCAAACTTGATTCGTTGTGTAGTTTGGCTTCTGTTCGCTTCAAAATATGTACAATTATGGTTAATTGTTAACTTGTAAGAGTGTACTAACTTTGAGAACATTAACAGTTTTGGAGGAAACATGTAATGTTTTTCAAATGAAGGGGCTTACAGAATGATGCAATGTTAGTAATATAATTTGGCTTTTGTTATGCAAATTGTTAACACCAGCTATTAAAATCTATTTTAGTAGAAATGCTTTAATTCATGTTTTTTTCCACTACACTGTGAATCTTTAAGCCTTGGAGGACTAGAGAAAGATAATGCTGCCCAAAGGACTAACCTATGCAAATGAGTTCACACTTTTGTGGATGTCACAATAAATGTGTGGTAAGACATTATTCCTCCTGCATAATGTACAAAGGCATTGGAGAACACCTTGAGCTTAGCATCCCATATGTATACTGTGGTTCACTCACAAACCCTTCCAGGCTGCCATACTCACTAGTATTAGTATTTGTCTGAAAACAAATCACTTATTGAAACTACTTGAATGATGTCAGAGTGGGACTGATAGACGGACGTGTGGGCTGTGGCTTTCACGTGGTCCATGCGGATGTTCTCCTATGATAGAACTGTGCTCTCACATGCACTCCCTTCAGGGTCTTCTATTCTGTATTTGTAAAACATTATAGCGCGTTCATTTCCTATCTATCTCTACACATTTGGTTTGCTTAAATAAATGCAGGATACAACAAAATGGTTCTACTTCTTGGCTCTCACAGTGGTTTCTTGGAATGGGGGTCATCAGATGCAGGTAATGCAGCATGATACCTGGGTATTAGGTTTAGTGTGACCGCTCACATAAAACATGCCCAAGATGCCTGCAGGCTGCAGGGTTCACTTTGGCGAGTCATTCGGTATGCTTCCTTCTCAGACTCAATTTCAGGTAATATCAATCCAATGCTTTCTCAGCCTCAGATTCTTTCTGATTTCATATGAAAGTACTGCAATAATGCATCGTTGTGGTGAACTTCTTTCAAAATTCAGTTCCTCATTTATCCTGACTAGTATCATTTTAATTTTTTGTATTTGTAAGATGACAGGAACACCTTGGAGCACAGGAACAGCTTGGAGCACAAAAATTTAAAAATGTCCAAGTTGAGGGCTGGTGAGATAGCTCAGCAGACGAAGCACCTGCTTAGGCAAGTACCAGGACCAAGGTTCGATCCCTGGCACCACATGCTGCCCTAGCCCAATCCCCGGGTATGCTGAGCTGGCCACCAAGACTGGGTGTGACGGTGCATGCCTGTAATCCCAGTGCTGGGGAGGCTGAAAGCAGGAGGATCACCACAAGTCTGAGCTGCACAGTGAGACCCTGTACCAAAGACATAAAAAGAAAAAGAAAAAAGACAAGTCCAAGTTGAGAACATGAACTAGAACGACACTCTGGTTTCTCAGCTAAGAATCACTCATTTATCATAGAACATTTTCCCCTAATAAAAAAATGAGTTAGTCCTTTTTTTTTTTAAACCTTCATATAAATTTCAATGGGTTGGATCTTAACCTTATTGCATTATTTTCTAAGGTCCCTCTTTGGTGCATAATCCTTCTTAATTGTGATCAGATACAGTTTGCAGATGACACCCAGTCATAAGCATGTCTACCAAATCATAAATTGAATTACTTTATTTTCCAAAAGTATGAATGCATCATTTTATGCTATTATTGAATAATACAGTTATTTATTTGCATAATTTACTGTCTTATGACAATAAAAAAAATTTCATGCTTATAAATCTATTCAGAACTTGGGCCACTGAGAAAATAATTTTGGAAGATTTTTTTCTGACCTAAAATAATATAGGTTTGCGTTATGCTACATTTTATTATCCTCACTAAAATTTTATATTTGGCTTTATAGATGACCATGTCATCAGTACCTACCAGAAGCCTACCAAGGCAACTTTCTAGGAAAATACTCAGACATAATAAATTGGAATTAGACAAAAGGAAAGTTTTGTTCTTTTACATAAGAGGGATTGAATAAGAGCTTTGTGATGGCAGAAAACTGGACACAGTGCAAGAGTAAATCCAACCATTTTCTGTAATTTAGAGCAAAATTCTCAGGCTTCTGACTATTTGTATTTTCAAGCAGTAGAATTTTGATGAAAAAAATAGAATGAGGAAATGGATTTAAAGGGTGAAAAGTCAATATTAGAACAAAAGCCCTAGTTACCTAGTTGTTGATTTTGTATTTATTCTATGGCATTTTGATCCTTCTAGCTTTTGTTTTTTTTTTTTTTTTGAGAAGCAAACATGAAAGAGAATAGTAGCCAGAAATGGAGAAATGAGCAAAATCTGAATTCTCATTCCACTTGAGACAATAGGGAACTTCTTTTGCATCCCAAGTTTATCTATCAGATTGCTCTTCAGTGAACTAGGGATTGATTCTTGACCCAGAACAACTGTGAGATATATATATATATATATATATATATATATATATATCCAAGACCATGAGGGCTTAATTAATGTTTGTGGTATGTGCATGACAGTTGTTCTGTCCCATATGACATCATTTCTCTGATTATAGCTCACTAGACAGAGGTGACCCAAGAGGGCTGTACAAGAACTCTGTTCAACAGAATGAGGGACAGAGTGACTTAACTACCCATGTATCCCTGAAGGGGTCTCAATTGAATACACAGATCACATTGGTTAACTGGTTTTCTTATGATTTATTTATTTATTTACTTACTTACTTGGTACAGGGTCTTGCTATGTAGCTCAGACTTGTAGTGATTCTCCTGTCTCAGCCTCCCAAGTGCTGGGATTATAGGCATGAGCCACCATGCCTGGTTTTGGTGGCCAGCACAGTATGCCTAGGTTTCTGGGGATGGAACCCAGGTCCTTATGCTTG